CCCTTCTTCCCTTCTCCTACTCTCTCTCTCTCCTCCTTCCTGGCCCATGATGAAAGGCCTTCTGTGGTCTCCCTCCCTGCTGATGAATTATGCATGCCCTTCAGCGCTGTGCCTGGCATCCAATTAGGGCTGTGGCCAGGTTGATAACAGATTAAAATGTAATTCATTGAGGCTGACATTTAAGCCCCAGTGTGAATGGCAGGGAAGAGGAGCAATGCTCTCCCAGACCTCGTGTGTGGGGCTTCCTCTCAGCTGCCTGTACTGGCTTGGACCAATGCTGGCCAGCGTGCTGGGCCTTCTGATGCACAGGGCGCTGGGGAAAGGCCCCAAGCAGGCTTCGGACCGAAGCGGCTTTTTTTTTTTTTTTAATTTGGAAATCATCTGAGGTTTACACCAGAGTTCTGACAATAGAACAGAGCGTTCCCATATACCCTTCACTGAGCTTTCCCCAATGTTAACATCTTACGTAACCTCGGTACAATGATCAAAACCAAGAAATTAGCATGGGTACAGCGCCATTAACGAAACTACTGATGTTTTCCGGATTTCATTCAGTTCCCCACTGATGTCCTTTTTCGGTTCCAGGATCCAGGCCAGGATCCCACATTGCAGAGCGGGCGTTGGAGATCATGCCCCTGCAGAGACAGCCATCCCTCCCCGCAGGGGTTCTCAAACCTTTGAGAATTAGGTTTTCTAAAATTTTATTTAAAAGGGATTTTGTTTAAAAGGCGCATCCTTCTCTAGACATGCTGGTTCTGTAAGTCGTGGGGAGAACCTTGGCATCAATATGTTTAACAAGCACCCAAGGCAGCAGAGAATGGCTGCCCTGACCAGCACTCCAAGCAAAGTTGGATTGGTTCCTATTTCCTTTGGCAAATCAGTTGTCAGCTTGCAGAGTCCCCTCATCCTCTGGCTTGGGCTTTAGTCAGAGCAGGGCTACCCGCCTCCATCACCCGTTAACCAGACCCTGTGGGGAGGAGGGCGGGGCTCACATGCTGGGTGGGGCAAAACCCCAGAGAAGCCCTGCTTGGAGAGGAGAGGAAAACATTCAGCTGCCAGTTGCAGATATATATGCATATACTAGAGGCCCGGTGCACGGGATTCATGCACTGGGGGTGTGTGGCCTGCAAGGATTGGCCCTCTGTGGGAGCACTGCTCATCCCAGTCAGCTGAGTGGCTATGGACCCGCGCTCTGAGTGGCTGCTCCTGCTGTGGGAGCGCACTGACCACCAGGGGCAGCTCCGGCATTGAGTGTCTGCCCCCTGGTGGTCAGTGCATGACATGGTGACCGGTCGACTGGTCGTTCTGCCCTTAGGTCGCTGGGCTTTTATTATATAGGATATTTACTTTCTCATTTAATCCACAAAACAACCCCTGTGAGTAAATGCTATTTCCCCCCATTTTAGAGATGAGGAAACTGAACAACAGTGATATTACGTGCAGGGTTGCCAGATTTAGTAAATAAAAATACAGGAGGCGCAGCTAAATTGGAGCCTCAGCTAATACTGGGGACATACTTTATATCTGAAAAAACTTGTGTTCATCTGAAATTCAGATTTCACTGGGCCTCTTGTATTTTACCTTGCAACCCTAATTAAGTTGGTTCTACAGCTGGTAAGTAGGCCTCATCCTAGATCCGGCTCCAGTGTCTCTCTCTCTCTCACTCCCTACCTCACCTGCTGGACCATACACTACAGGAGGTGGGCACCGTGTACATTTGTCCCCTGCTGTATCTCCAGTGTGGGCACAGTGTGGTAGTAGGTGATTAATAAATATTTGGTGAAGAAATGAACGGCTAAATGCACACATGAACGGACTCACTCCTCCCTTTGTACCAATGGAACCTGCAAATGATGGTGAATAAATGGAAAGGCTTAGCTGGGGAGGCGATGTGAGACAACCTTGCTGACAGAAATGCAAGAGGAACGAGGGGGCTGGAGGCCTCATGCCCACACCCGGGAACCCCAGCCCTTGCACCCTGAACAAAGGCAAACAGCCAGCTCTTCCCCTCACCCTTCAGGGCCCCGGCTTTCCTGACCGGGAAGTGGGATTGGGTCTCTTCTAGCTCCAGGCTTCTGCGCATCAATGATTTTGCTTTCTCACCTCACCTTCCCGAGTAGGTTAAAAAATATGGCCAAATTAAAGGGTTTGCTGCCGACTACTAGGTATTTACTTCCAAGCTCTATCTGTCCTCCCTCTCCTCGTCTTCCCCTCCCGGCCTCCTCCATGACAATTTTCTAAGCGCCACCATGGAGCCTGGCCTTGTGTCCCTTTCCTGAAATGCTCCCTTTCCACTTGTCGGACGGAATCAGAAGCCCAAAGAGACCTGGCCCAGCACAGTCGCTCGCAGACAAGGGAAGACATCGGGATGCATTGTGTCTTTTTAAAATAGACCGGTTGTCGTCGGGATGTATTTTTAGCTGTGGGAGAGATTGGCACGCTCTCCGTGCCACCATCTGCCAAAGGCAGTTGCTAGGCAACTGACACTGACGATAGCAAGGGGATGACTTCATGGAGGATCCGGGACCCTGGCTGCCCGATCCTGCTCCGCTGTCTAACTCTAGCATGCCGACAGCCGGGCCCAGGGGGATAAGCATTCGTCCGCTTCTGGGAGAAGCCAGGAAGCTGCTGCAGGGCCTGGGAGCTGAGCTCAGAGGATGCCGTGCAGGTCACAAGGGAAACTGAGGCATCCCTGCCACCTTGGTAGGTAGAGTTCCTGTTTCGAAGCTATGGAAACTTTAGATGCTCCTGTGGTTTCAGGCTCTGGACTCAGCGACTCCACGGCTTGCCCATTCTTCCCTGTGGCAGCCCCAGAAGCACTGGTCTGAGTCAGAGAAGGCGCTGCTTGGCGGCAGTTTGGCCAGAGCAGAGCAGGCTTTCTGGACCAAGACCTGGCTGGCTGGCTGGTGGCAGGATTCCTGGCTTCTGGCCTGATTCTGCCTTTAGCTCTCTGTGTGGTTTGGGGTGCGTCCCTGACCATCTCTGACCCCCCAGTTTTGCCACCTTCAAAGTTCGGGTAGAGAACCAGATGAAGTACATTTATAGGGCCGAAAGGCAGAGTAACTGTGCAGTAAAATAACCCACGAGTCAGCCCTGGGTTCAGATCCCGACTTTACCCCTTCCTGCTGCTGTGTGACTCCTGGTGAGGTACTGAGCTTCTCACGGCCCCAGTTTCCTTATCTGTAAAGAACAGCAGTAGCCCTCTCACTGTGGCGTGGGGATTCCACAAGGCGTCACATGGAGGGCATGCAGCAGAGCAGCTGTATTTTGGAGCCCAGGAAATGGGTAGGTGGCGTTCCATTTCTGTTGCAGAGGCTTTAAAATATTTACAGCAATCATTTCTTCTCATCCAGACTGATGGACTTTAAAAAATACGTTTTTATTGGTGTGAGAGAAAGAGGAAGGGAGAGGGAGAGGAGAGGATGGGAAGAAAGGGCGGGGGGAGGAAGAGAGAAACATTGATGTGTGAGAGAAACATTGATCGGCTGCCTTCTGCACGCCCCTACTGGACTGCCTCCCCAGTTCTTGGCTTCTCGTCCACCTGGTGGACAGCCCCACATGATCTAGCCTGCAAGACCTAGCTTAACAGTCACCTCTTCTGGGAAGTCTCTGCTGGCTCCCCCAGCACACCTCAAATATGCTGCTGGCTTTGGTTCATTTGTCTGTTATTTCCCTCAAAGCAAGAAGCCACTCTTTTTATTTTATTGTAGCATCTTTAAGTATACCTATAACCCTATATAATAGAAGGGTAATATGCAAGTCAACCAAACTGCAGAACGACGGGTCGCTATGACATGCACTGACCACCAGAGGGCAGATGCTCAACGCATGAGCTGCCCCCTGGTGGTCAGTGCACTCCCACAGGAGGGAGCGCCATGCAGCCACAGGCTCGGCTAATGGCTGGTACGCACAGAGGCGGTGGTGAGAGCCTCTCCCGCCTCCATGGCAGCGTTAAGGATGTCTGACTGGTGGCTGACATCCACTGAGGGCTCCTGGACTGCTAAAGGGCACAGACTGGGCTGACGGGATGAATGTCGTGCATGAATGTCATGCACCGGGCCTCTAAAGAAACTGCATTTTGGTTCAACCTCATGCCTTTCTTCTCCCTTCCCTGCCAAGGTCTGGTATGAAGTCGGGATTCAGTAAATATTTATTGCATGGAGATATCTTTCTGCCCCCGGTTAGTGCTTTTTCTGACCGCCCCACTCCCGACTCCTCTGTGTGGGAGAATCCAGACATTTTGCACAGCTGCAGCTCGGCGGGGCCCATTTTGGCTGGAATTCAAGGAGTAATTACCGACAAATAAGTATTCTTACAACCCACATCAATCAACGTCCCTCTCCTCAAATGCTCTTTCCAGGAAACAGGGATGATCTGAGGGAGATGCTGTCTTGAACAGCCCAGGCTTCTTTCCGGGGCCCAGGGACTCAGAGGACCCCAGCGTCGGCCCTCTGCAACAGTCCATAGACAGGCCTGAATTCAGCTCCCGCCTGTCACTGTCTTCCTCTGTGAACTTGGACGAGGGGTTTAACTTCTCTGAGCTTCAGTGTCCTCATAGGTCATGTGAAGTCGTTAATATGTCCTAGGACTGTTGTTATAATGATGAAATGAGATAGCATGTTTAAAGCATCAACGGATTTCCCACCCCTTACCCTCCTCCGAGGCATCCGAGTTGTAAAGAAGAAATCACCAATCGCATTTCAGGCAACGGGAGGAGTTGGACATTCATAGGCTGCCCTCCGTGTTTTCCTGCCAACCAAGGCGTATCAGGGTGTATCTGGCAGGGACCACATTGTTGTGTCCCCTGAGTGCCCTTCATACCTCCCCAGGCCCAGGACTCGGACCGCCGTGGCTTATACCTCTGATAAACCCTACTCCACTGTGAACATCTTTGGGGGAAGGTTTGAGTCAACAATGATTTCACAGAATGTTGGTCAGGACTGAGAGAAGGAACCAGAGTGATCTCTTCTTGCATTCATCTTCGTGTCTTCTATGGGCAGGTCCTCGGGAGCTCAGGCCTGGTGGTCCCTGAAGAAGTTGTGCCATCACGTCCCACCTGAGGCTGGAGAAGAGCCCTGGTGGGGGCTTGGCCGACTGGACAGCAGGCAGCATGTAAGAAAATGTCTACGGCCCACCCGTGCCCCACTGATCCTAGCCTCCCAGAGTGTCCAGTTACCATGAGAGAGAGAGGATGTCCACGCCTCTCACTCCCTGGCCCTGGCCGCCTTAGCCGGCCAGGTGGTGGAATTTCCGTTTCATTCTAAACGGAGCAGGGGATGTGGGAGATCTCTGGTGGCTTCTGGCAGGTGACAGATCACAGCAGGGCTCAGCAGTCAGAGGTGCAATCAGAAAGGCCGAGATCAAAGGGGGAGGGCTTCATTTGAGAGCCAACTCCACCCCTCCACCCCCAGCCTCATCCCAGTCCTCGCCAAGGCTCCCGGCATTCTCTGTGGAAAGGAAGGAGGATGAGGATTTGGGCTAAAGATGGCCGTTGAAGCCATGTGCTAACACACAGGCCATCCCAGAACAGCTGCCGTGTCATTGCAACGCTTGAAATGAAAATAAAATCGATTGATTTATAAGAGGAAAAGAGGATCGACATTAGTGGGGTCAGAAAGACCATTTTCGGGAGCCCTGGGGTTGGCCCGCATCCTGCATGTGAAATGGGAGGTGGGAGCGTTCGCCATGGAAACTGTCAGAGGGAAGCTGATGCCAGGGCTGCAGGGTTGTGGGCGGGCGCTCAGCGCAGGCATCGGGGAATCACTGAATCCTCGGGAAGCAGGCGATGGGGTGAGGCCAGAGCTGAGGCTCCGGTGCGTTTTGTGAGATGAGGGCTTCCTCGCTGAGGGTGGGGAATCTGCCTCCCACACTCTGTGGTCGGCAGCTTTGTGTATTTTGTTTGTGTGGGGGTTTGTTTTACCTTCACAGTAAACCTTTTTATTTATTTATTTTAAAAAATTGTATTGATTGATTTTTAGAGAGAGAGCGGAAAGGAAGAGTTGATTCCTGGATGTGTCCTGACTGGGGATCGAACCTGAAACTTTGGTGTATCCCAGTGATGATCTAACCCAGTGGTTGTCAAACTGCAGCCCCTTGAGTGTGGCTCTTCCACAAAATACCACGTGCGGGCACGTACGTACAGTGCTATTGAAACTTCATGGCCACACTCAAGGGTCCAAAGAGCCGCATGTAGCTTCCAAGCCTCGGTTTGCTCACACTCAAGGGTCCAAAGAGCCGCATGTGGCTTCCAAGCCTCGGTTTGCCGACCATGGATCTAACCAACTGAGCTATTCGGGCAGGGCCTGAAACTTTTTTTTTTTTTTTAATATTTGACTAGGATGCTCACAAGGTGTTTGCTTGCTGACTCCCCCCCATGTGGGAAATGGGAGACGTCAGAAGCTCTGCCCCTGACTCAGGCAAACCCCGCCCCGCTTTGTGCCTCAGTTTCCCCATCATTCAATGAGGATGTGAGACTAGATGAGTGCCTCCGGGTGCACTTGTCAGAGGAGCGTTTAAATGGAACTTGGGCGAGGCGCAGGGTGGGTGGGATTTAAGCGTCCCAGTACCAACATGCGTGCATGCGTGTTGAGTTAAAGGTGGCGTGTCACCTGCCACCAGCGCCCCATTCCTGGCTGCAGAGTGTGGGCAGGCTGGACTCTTGCTCCTGACCCCCAGTCTGCCTCATGGGGCCCCTGGTCCATCTCCAAGGGCCCGCCCGACTCGGACAAGCAGAGAGTTCTGCTGTGGGCTGTGAGCCCCCAGCCCCTGGAAGTGGCCATGTCATCACAATTTCATTTTTCTTGGAGGACATGTTCCCCTGGGCTCCCGGAGGGCCCCCGGCCCGGCGTTATTATGGGATGGCAGCGGGCTCATTCTTTCAGAGTGAACAGCTTCTTGTCCATCTGAGGCAGAGCTATTGTTCCTCGAGCGGAAAGCCTTGCCGCTCCCTGGGTGCTTCTCCCAGGCCTGTTCTCCCTCCGTCAGCCGGAGTGGGTATTCATCTCACTGAGTCCCCAGCAGCTGGCCTCGCTTTGCATGGCTGTTTGGGGATAGTTTTTTTGTTGTTCTTCTTCTTTTTAATCGGACAGATTTTCTTTTGAGTTCTGGATGAATGCCAGCCCAGGTTTTTGGTGGGAAGCAGGCGCTCTTTCTGGAACAACTCCTGGGGCCCGGCATCCAAGCAGAACACTGGGAAGAAGCCATTTCCCGCAGCTGGAGAGCCGAGCAGGGGTGGAGGTCAGGCTTCTGTGCGGACAGGGAGGGTGGACCAGGGTTCAGGGGCCCGTGTTCCGCTCCGGACCCGGCTGACTTGCTGTATGACCTTGGGAATCCCCTTATCCTCTCTGGACCACACTCTCGCCATCTGTGCCATGAGGGGTGTGGATGTGATGACTAGTTTGCAATGAGGGAGAAAACACTTTGGAACGAACCCTCTCTTAAAGGGACATCTATACAAACCCGAGACGAACCAGGGGAAATCGCTGCTTTTGTAAGTCAAAAATGTCAATGGTGGGCTGTGTCCTAGGGTTTAGCCCATGGTTTCTCAACCTCAGCCCTATTGACCTCGGGGGTGGACATTGTGGGTGGACATTGTGGGGGGCTGTCCTGCCAGGTGTTTAGCAACATCCTGGGCCTCTACTCACTGGATGCCAGGAGCACCTCCCCAAGTTGCAGACATTTCTGAATGTCCCCGGGGGTGGGGGTGGGCAGTAAAATTGCCCTGGTTGAGGCCCACCGTTTTAATCTGATAAGACAATGAAAAGGCGAGATTTTTCTTTGAAGGGCGGTGGGAGGGAGTGGTACCGATATCCGTTCTCTGTGGCCCCAGACACTCTTCTGACACGTCAGTGTTTCAGGAGACAACGTTTAAAACCGCATAGCCTCAGAGGCCAGGGTGTCTCTTAGCTCAAAGCTTCCATGGGAATCCAGGGTCCACTTTCCAAGTCAGATTTTTATTTTACTTTATTTTGTATTTTTATTGATTTCAGAGAGGAAGGGGGAGGGAGAGAGAGAGAAAAAAACATCAATGATGAGAGAGAATCATTGATTGGATGCCTCCTGCACGCCCCACACTGGGGATCAATCCTGCAACGCAGGCATGTGTCTTGACTGGGAATCGAATCATGACCTCCTGGTTCATGGGTTGACCCTCAACCACTGAGCCACACCAGCCGGGCCAGATTTTTAACTGGAAAAGCAGGGGAGGGCGCTGTGGAGAGATGGTCAGCAACTTCCTCATTGCTCCCAGGCCCCGCTTCTGGAATAAACGTTTATTCCACAAAGATTTATTGTGCTTTTATACTTCATCTGGAGCTTTCCCCCTTTATTCTGAACTCGTTTGCTCTTTTTTTTTTCCTTTGCTTCAACTATGTCTTGCCCTAATCTCTTCCAGAAACAGCCTCACAGACACACCCAGAAATAGGCCCAGTCAAACTGATGCATAAAATTAACCATTGCAGCAGGCTTGAATAGACCGCTCCCTTTGGTTTGGGGGTGACAGACAAGAAAGGCCAACCATCCTAGACTGTGGGTGGCTTAGAGGGTCCCAGGACCATTTCTTCTCCTTTCCTGAAAACCCCTGCCCCCCTAGCCTGAAGGTGTCTTGGCCTTTTTGTCAGATTAGGGAACAGATCACTCCTCCTGCCCCTGGCTTCCTGCTGGCTCTCCCCTCCCCCCCCCCTCTCTGCCTCCAGGCAAAGTGCTTTGTTCCTCACTGAGGACCTCAGGGAGTGGTCCCTGGCAGTTGGATGCTCTTGGCAAGGGCCTTGGGCATGCAGAACACGTAGCATCCCCTGGAGACACACGCTGGGGAAGAGCAGAGAGCTCTTTGCACATGCGTGAGTGAGCAGGCCAGGCCTCCCGGTGCAGCCTGGGGACATGGGGGCTGGTCTAGGGATGTGGGAATGCCCTGGGGCCCCCAACACACAGACACTCTACCTTGTGAAGTCCCCACCTGGGTGAGCGCTACCCTCCCCCAGGCAGGTAGAGTAGGAGTTAAGAGCAACAAGCTTCCTAGTAGAGTTTTCCTTTCAAATGCTGACTGCCATTTAGCATCCAGGACCTTCGGCAAGATAATAACTTTTGGACACATCAGTTCTGTCATATTTAAAATGAGGATAAACCGCGTCTCTTAGGGTTGTCATGAGGATTAAATGAGACAGTGCATGTCGCCCTGGCCCCCTGGGGAAGAAAAATGAGAAGCCCATGTTGTTTGTGTGAGAATAGTGGTCAGGAGTCAGGAACCTGGGTTCTAGTCCCAGCCCTACTCCTTCCATCCCCCAGTGTCCCATCTTGCTGAGGAGGAAGCTGGCTTTGGTCATCTCTAGACGCCCCCTAGTTGTAATTCTCTTAGAATCCGTGCAGTCAGAGTTGTTCCTTCCAGAGACAAATCTGCAATGAATTTTGTGCACCGGGCCTCTAGTTATATATTGATACAATTACTCCTATACTTTGAATAATTATTCTCCACCAGTTGCAAGGAGCTGAAGTGATAGGTCTTGACTCCCACAACAATCACTGAAGTAATGTCACTACCTCAAATTTGGCACCAACATAGGACATTCTTTACTATTTATAAATGCTAAGTAGGATGCTGAGCCCTCACTCTGCCCCAGCGGTGGGAAAATGTAGTCTGAATCTGTCCTGGGTTTTCTTCCCCCTTCTGCAGTTTTGAAGATTGGGTCCTAATCCCTGGGCCTCCAGGCCAAGGCATGGGTGGGTTGGAGACAGGAGGCTTGCAGGGCCATGTACTTCTCCCACACTGGTCCCCATAGGGTTCTACATCCTACAGGCCCAGAAGATGTGTGTCCTTTGGGGCACTGGATTTTGGCCGCTTGTGCGATGGCTCTCGGAGTCCTCTGCCTGGGTGTGTGTTGCCATTCCATCTCGGGCTGGATTCCCCCTCTCACTAGCCGGGAACCTCGATGCAGGTTCCCTCTGTTCAGGACTCACAGGGTTCTCCTCTCCACTCTCCTCCACCCTCTCCGCCCCCTCCGGGGCCTGACTTTCTGGAAACAATAGTCCAGAACTGAAGTGTCTGACAGAAGTTGATTCTTTTTCTGCCTTCCCACATCTTAGCATAAGCAGCTAGGAGCACATTAACAAGACAGCATTCGGTCCCATAAATTTTAGGTTCTTTGCCATGACAGCCTCCAACGTCTGCATACCCAACGTACGTCCCAGTTACATATTACTATGCAACAAACCAGCCCGGAACAGAGTGGCTTCAAACATAACCACTTATTCAGCTCTTTTGTTCTGTGAGTCAGCCATTGGCGATGGGCTTGCTCGGGCAGTTCTGCTGCTCTTAGCTAGGCTCACTCATGCCTCTGTGGTCAGCGGCCCGTCAGCGAGCAGACCCACATCCCTGACCCTTCTGATCTCCTCATCAGAGCTCTGCCATGGCAAGTCCAGCATCTCCATCTCGTTTACTGTGAGCTGTCATGATGTCCGAGCTCCCGAGAGCCACTCCTGCAGCATATCAGACCAGCCCCGAGGCATTCGTTCAGGACAATAAATCGGAGTCATGAGAACATTGCTCTTGCAACTAGTTCTCTCCTACGCAGTCTCCTGCTCATGCTCAGGTCCATTGCCCTCAAGATCCACTCCCACACATGCTTTTCTGTTCCTACCAGGACACATTTGCCATGTCATGTAATTAACTCGGGGTGAAAGCCATTTCCTCCCGGAGGATGGGCTATACTCTTGGCGAGGGCTACGCTGAGACCTGGCCCTAGTTCTTAGGCTGGGGCAATGCATGGAGTAGAGTGATCCTTTTTATTTTTTTATTATTTTTTATTTATTAATTTTTAAGTATTTATTGTTGAAAGTATTATATATGTCCCGCTTTTTCTCCCATTGACCGCTTATAGCCCGGTCTCTCTCCCCCCACCGCCCTAGGCCTCCACCATCCTATTGTGTGTCCATGGGTTATGCCTATATGCATATAAGTTCTTTGGTTGATCTCTTCTCACCTACCCATCCACCCCCGCCTTCCCTCTGAGATTCCACAGTCTGTTCCATGCTTCTATGTCTCTGGATCTCTTTTTTGTTCAACAATTTATTTTGTTTATTAGATTCCACATATGAGTGAGATCATGTGATACTTGTCTTTCTCTGACTGGCTTATTTCGCTTAGCATGATACTCTCCACACCCCTCCATGCTGCCTCAAAGGGTAAGAGATTCTTTTTTACTGCTGTATAGCATTCCATGGTATAAATGTACCACAGCTTTTTTATCCACTCATCTACTGATGGGTACTTGGACTGTTTCCAGATCTTAGCTATTGTAAATTGTGCTGCCATGCACATAGGGGTGCATACATTCTTTCTGTTTTGGGTTCCTTAGGATATATTCCTAGAAGTGGGATCAAATGGCAGTTCCATATTAAATTTTTTTGAGGAAATTCCATACTGTTTTCCATAATGATTGCACCAGCCTGCATTCCCACCAGCCATGTACTAGGGTTCCCTTTTCTCCACATCCTCGCCAGCACTTGTTGTTTGTTGATTTGCTGATGCTAGCCATTCTGACAGGTGTGAGGTGATCACCTCATTGTTCTAATTTGCATCCTTCTTATGATCAGTAACTTTGAGCATTTTTTTCATGTCTCTTGGCCATCTGTCTGTCCACTTTGGAGATGTGTCTATTTAGGTCCTTTGCCCATTTTTTAATTGGATTGTTTGTCTTCCTTTTGTTAAGTTGTCTGAGTTCCTTATATATTTTGGATATTAACCCTTTATCAGATGTATCATTGCCAAATACGTTCTCCCCTACCGTGGGCTCCCAGTTCATGAGGAGAGCGATCTTGATAAGGAGAAGCATTTTCATGTGACATGCATGTCACAGACTGCGTCTGCTCTCCACCCCGAGGTCACTGTCATTGCCCTGATGCCTTCAGGTTTCCTTTAGCCTCTCCTGTGAGAATCGGAAAGTGGGCTTCGATCTGCACTGCCTACCAGCCGGCGTAGATGAGGCTATTTTAGAGCCAGGCCTTGGGCTGAGGTCCTCTTGTTCTGGTTTCCCCCTTGGGGTGTCAGGAGCGCAATCTGGGAGAACAGAGAGAACCCATCAAAGGTCTGTGCCTCTCAGAGGCCATCCAGGCCACTGGTGTGACTACTGATGAGGACATCAGGGTCCTAGGAGGTGAGGTCAAAACACGACCCTCGCGGCATGAGATACGTAATGATTGCTTTGGAAATCTCAAGCACGTTGCTCGTCCAGTTAATAGTGGGAATGGGACAAACTGTGAAGCTGCAGGTCTGTATCCAGCAGGCACTTAATACCTGCTTGTGCCTACCCCACCTCTCTCAGGAAGTGACTACCCTGGGACACCTCCTGTGTGTTAGATTGATGCTTCCCAAAGCCACTAATGCTACTGTTAAATTCCTGCCCCAACATCTCTGAGGGTGGGGCAGAAGGATGCCTTTTCAGCAAGTGCGCCAGGTAATTCTGATGCCAACAGCCCCGCCCCAAACACTTGGGAAGCCCCATGCTGGGCCCTCTGCCATGACCCACCTGCTGGGTCTCAGAGCATGGCCTTGTGACAAAAAGAGTACAGCAGTGAGGACCCAGAGTGCTGAGGGCCGGTCCCTGCAGAGCCTCCTCATGTTTACACTGGAGGGCCTGGGTCTAGATCAGAATTGCTGGCTTTACCCATGACACAACTCAAGCCGGTAGAAATGGTACATTGGGCTCACATTATGGTTGTTTTGGTTGTTTAAACAATTGAGGCCACATTTAAAAATCGAGTAATACGGTATACTTCTGGTGTGGCCAACCAACATTGTCACCAAACAAATGTTTCCTGAGGTTGAGAAGTCACTGCCCCGTTAGACAGAGCATGTGTGGTCCAGTTTTCCACAGTCCCCACCCCTCCCTGTTGCTCTCCTGACCAGCTGCATTCACCGCTTGTTTGCTGCCTTCCCAGACCCTGAATCTGAGGTCTGAGTTGAGGTGTCCGGCTTCCCTGACCCCAAATCTACTTCTACTCTTCTGTGAGCCTAATGCCTAACAAATTACTTTTCCCCAGATCAAGGCCCAGTCTTCAGCTGTTTATGTAAATCAGAACAGGAAAGTCTTGCTTGGCCAAGTCCTTTCTTGAATCTTGGCCCGATGCTACGCTTCACCAATCCTGTGACCTGTGTCTGCCTGCTCAACATTTGCCTGCTAACAGGAGGCTTCTTCTTGTCTCTGACGGAAGGTCTCTAAGGCCAGCAGCAGCCGTGGATGTCCAGGGCGTGCAGGCGGGCCAGCCAGATGAGGAGAGAGTGGGTGCACCCAGGCCAGACCCTGATCTGGGCTATTGGGGTCCTTGCAGCTGCCACCGAGGGTGAGACACCCAGTGGGAGAGAAGGGCTCTCAGAAGGTGAGGTAGGAGGGGGATTTCCCTATTCAGAGGATTGTCCACGGGTGGAAATGCAGTTACTGCGCAGGGGCCTCTGAGGGCCCACGGCGGGCTGTGTAGTCACCTCAGGGCACCTGACCAATGTCCTGGGGGTGTTGAAAACCCCAGGGCCCGGGTCTCTTTCTGGGGCACACGGTAGAGCACAGAAGACCCCTGGTCCTGTCCTTGAGTTGCTCACACCATGTGGGGGGCTGGGAGAGCCCTCTGTCCTGGGACAGAGCCTGTGCTTTTGTGGTGCTGGCTGCCGATTTTAATGTTACTATTGAGATGACATTAGCCGGGGTAGCACCAGCACTGCTGGGTCCGGCTAACTCAGTTGCCAGACTGCTGACCTCTGAAGGCGCCATAGTCTGTGTGGCAACCGAGCAGCCCGCGCTCTCAGTCTCAGACGTCTCACCCTCGGACCCCTGGAGGCAGACTGGCTGATTTCAGGTGGCATCCGCGTGAGGATTTTTTTATTTTCATTGCTGAATATTTACTTTATTCGAAAGCATACACCGAACTCAGCAAAACCACCACTCATAGATGTGATTGCCTAAGACTCCTCTTGGTCATTGTGAAAAGTTCATTTAGATTTCACTTTAAGAAAAACAAGATGCCGGTCGTCCTATAGGTGGGTGATGCACAGGCAGCTGTGCTGGTGGGTATGAAAATGACGGACGTGTGGGAAGCTCAGGGCCCGGTGGCTCCGTGCAGTCCTAGGCCCTACAGGGCCTGGTGTGTATCGTCACCTCCGTAGGAAGGGAGGCTTCTGGGCACAGAAGGGAGAAGGGTTTCCACGGTAACCAGGGGGCATGTGGTGGCTTGGTGCTGTGTTCCCGGACGAGACTAAGTTTGTGCTCTGATACAGGTGACTTCTAAGGCAATGTTGAAGGAGGCCATGGACGTGGGTTCCTGGAGAAAGAATCCAGACACTTCCCATGGCACAGCGTCTGGGCCCAGAAAGAGCGCCCCCACCTGGGGGAGCTCTGAATTGGGCTTCTCCTGGCCTCTTCCTAGCCAGCTCCTGATTCCTCCCCGTGTGTATTCCCTCAGGGCCAGCTGGAGATGGACCCACCAGGAGCACCAGGCTGGGCTGGGTCCGGGGGAAGCAAGCCACTGTGCTGGGAAGCACCATGCCTGTGAATGTGTTCCTCGGGGTCCCCTACGCCGCACCCCCGCTAGGACCCCTGCGATTTACAAACCCAAAGCCTGCGTCGCCCTGGAATGGCATCCGAAACGCCACATCCTACCCTAATTTGTAAGACCGGGCTTGATCCCATGGGTGGCCTGCGACCTGGGAGTGGGGGCAGGGCATTGAGGGGGAATGAAGGGGGGGAGGGGGGAGGAGGAGAGGGCTACAAAAGTGGCTTCCATAACCACATGGCACCGTTCAGAACATGCAGATCCCCTGAGCTCCTGTCCAAACTTCCTGAATCTTCAGACCTAGAAAACTGGATTGTCTGCAAGCTCCCTGAGGATTCTGAGCTCAGTCAGATTTGGGAGCCACTGTGATGGGCTTACTGATTGGAAGGGCCGGTCAGCCAGGCCTAGTCTCCTTGGTCAGACTGGATAAGGGCTGTAAAGTGAAGAATCACACTAAAGCAGTGGTTCTCAACCTGTGGGTCGCAACCCCTTTGGCGGTTGGACGACCCTTTCACAGGGGTCGCCTAAGACCATCCTGCATATGGATATTTACATGACGATTCATCACAGTAGCAACATTACAGTGATGAAGTAGCAATGAAAATAATGTTATGGTTGGGTCACAACATGAGGAACTGTATTTCAAGGGCCAGAAGGCTGAGAACCACTGCTAAAGGGATGTGAGTGCTAGCAGTCAACACCATGCCCATGCAGAGCCTGGCCCACGGGAAAATCCATAACTTCCTGTGGAATGATGGCACGAGTGTGTCTCTGTGGCACAGAGGAACTGGGAGGTAAGGAGTTCCCAGTCACTGCAAGTTTTCAAGCTTAGGTAGGCAGCCAGTTCCCTGGGGAGTGGTGGAGGGCCCTCACGCATGAGGTGGGAGCTGAGACTTGGAAATCCCCAAGAAATCTTCTGACTGTCAAATTTTGTCAAGTCCTCAGGTTGGTCACATTCCTGGCATTGCTTTCACAGGCCAAAGGAGTACCCTGGTGCCAGGAAGCTCCCTAAGCCACAGAAGACCCCATGTGGCCCAGGGACTGAGGACACTAAGCGGACACTCATCTGTTCATTCATTCATTCATTCATTCATTCAGCTCATATCAATAGTTAGATTCCCTTAGGCCCTGGATGACACCCCCATGGGTTAGACATTGCTGCCCTCAGGAACCTGCAGACTGGTAGTGGTGGTGGGGACATGAACAGCAATGACAATTAAAATACAGAGTGACAGGGCCACCATAGGGGATCGGAGAAGGTGCTGAGGAAGCACAGAGAACCACTTAGCCTAGCTCTGAGGGGAGGTCAGGGATGGCTTTCTTGGGAGCCTGTAACCTCGATTTCTGATAAACAACTTACAAAGGGGAAAGGGGGCATAAAAACTTGTCAGGGGGTAGATTTGCAGCAAATCTGTATACTATTCTACCACGAAATTAAAGTGATTGAGCAGTTTATAGAAATATTCACAAACACAATCTCATTCGATCTTACTGTGTGTCAGGATTGGTGATGGGGGCTCTGAGGTACTTAGGTGACTAATACAGAGCCCTAGGCTTCTAGCTGCTCACAGTTGAGCTGGGACTATGATTACACTCATATACAAGTCTATAGGAGAAGTTCTAGTAAAAAAAAAACGCAAAATATGTAGGTGTTTCCAAAGATACCTATGGTCTATCTGGAGAAATCTCAGAAGGCTTCTTGGAGGAGGTAGCATTTAGACTGAATCTGAAAGAAAGGGAAGAACATGAGCAAAGAGAGGAAGACAGCAATCTAGCCAGAGGGACCAGCTTGAGCAAAGGCCTGGGTGCAGGATTCTCTCTGCCAACCTGTCTCAGTTGGTTCCTGGCAGAAAGGCCTGGAAAAGCCCCTTTGTTCCTCTGGGGTCAGAAGAGGGGGCTGCCAGAGCCAAGCTCTTGATTTGCAACCCAGTGTCCTAACCTCTATAGTTTGGGGAATTGTTGAGCCAGCCAGGGTCTTTATGCGTGTGCCTGGATTATGATGGTTGGGTGCTGGGGGTTAATGGTACAATTATTATACACAGTGTGCTTTCCCTCCTGGGAACCAGATCAAAGAGAATCATGGTGTCTTCATTTGTGCCACTGGGTGGAGGGGGCATGATGAACGGGGTACCAAAAGCCCCCATAGGCATCCTCTGCTCAGGCCCAGGAGACAAGAACTGGCCCCTCCCAGGCAAGTTTGCTGACAGCGACTCCGGGGGTTTCTCCTCCTCTTTCCAAGGTGCTTCCAGAACTCAGAGTGGCTGTTCTCAAATCAACACATTCTCCGGGTGCGCTACCCCGAATTCGGAGTGTCCGAAGACTGCTTGTACCTTAATATCTATGCCCCAGCCCGTGCCGACACTGGCTCCAAGTTCCCGGTAAGGCTGTCTGCCGTGCTGGGGGCAAGTCCTTGGGCTGGGACCCTGGCAGTGTGCCTGGGGGTCTGGAATCAGCCCCAGCCTCCTATTGGGTAAAATGGAAATGTAATCATTGGCAGGTCAGTAACTTCCTTCAAAAGTCATTTGAACGACGGATTCACTTTATTTCCTTTTCGCTTCTTTGTTGGCAGTGACTTGACTTTTGATTTTGATATTGTGTTGTGTTTCCCCCTCTGTTGAGTATTTAACGGCCTGTAAACAGTCAGAGAAGGCACTGCTTAAAAGGACCTTGATTATTTTTGTGTTTGCTTGTTTGCTTGAAAAATCCTTCCGTTAAAGAAAATAATTGCCTTCACCAATTTTTCTGTTTGCAATGAAGTCAGTCAGGTAATAACGCGGAGCATGCCACTTAAGAATGTGAAGGATCCCTGTTTAAGTGAGTACAAAAGGTGCAGTCTAACTTTTTACCACACCCTCCCATCATCTTTTCTCCCCGACGTCAGTGCAATGAGAGACTTGCTGTGTTGCACTATACCAGCAACATCTATTGATTGCTGACGTGTGCTAGGCACAGTACATTAGCTCATCGAGCCCCCCACAGTAACCCGAAGGGCCAAGATTATTGAACCCATTCTACAGATGACGAAGATGAGGCACGGGGGGAGAGAGCGTCAGCGCCTTGCTCCATACTCTACCTCAGTCAGTGGCAGATTCTTGTGTCCAAGCTAATGCTTTGCCAGTTCTCCTTTTTCCTCAGTGGCTTCCCTCTCTCTTCCTGCCCCAAGGGTGGCCGTCCCTAATAGGACCTTTAAAATGGAGAATGTGGAAGGCATTTATTATTATTATGTATAAATAGTGGTAATAGCATTTGAATGATGATTTATGTTCCCCAGTCCCAGTTTTTCTAATCAACATAGTAAAGTCTCCACACTTCTCTTCCCTTTTTTTCCTCTCTTCTCTTTGCAGGTAGACAAAAGCCTTAGATTAAAAAGCTTAAGCTGCTTTTGCTTCCATACATGGCTTACAACGATTTCCATCTTCCTGTGGGTCACAAGTTCAATATTTAGTTAATACTTTCGGAGCACTTGGAATGTGCCAACATTGTCCTAGGAACCTCAGATGCAGAATCTTGTTTAATCCTCATAATAGCCTCATAACTGAAATATTTTGATGCTTCACATCCTACAGATGAGGAAAATGAGGTTCAGAGAGGCTAAGTAATCTGCCTAAGGCCACACAGCTGGTCAGTGCCAGAGCTCAGACTTAAACTCAGGCACTTGGATGCTGGAGCCCACCTGCTTAACCCTGAGCCTTCTTCTAAATACAAAACCTCTGATGCTCGTTAGAAAGGAAAATGAGACATTTGCATTTTCATAGGGAAAGGAAGACCCAGCATTCACAGGGCGGGGGTCGGAATGCTCGACAGGCTGACCGGAAAGTTCCTCTCCCCTCCTTAGGTCATGGTGTGGCTTCCGGGGGGTGCCTTCCAGACTGGCTCAGCCTCCATCTTCGATGGGTCCGCCCTCGCCGCCTACGAGGATGTGCTGGTTGTGACTACCCAGTACCGGCTAGGAATGTTTGGCTTCTTCAAGTGAGTACCCCCAAATGACTGACACCCCTGGTCCCCAGGGGGCAGCTGTGCAGCAGCCATAGGGGATTCAGTGCCCAGCATCCTAAGGACATTGAACAAATTTGGACCAGATTATTAGGTAATTTTAGCAACTATGACAGATAACCCCCCACGTATTAGTGGCTTAGAGAAATAAACATTTTTTCTCACTTCAGTAAAATCTAATTGAGGGTTCCTAACTGACAGACATCCTTCCACAGCATCAATCAGGGACCCAGGCTCCTTCCACCTGTGGCTCTGCATCTGGCCAGCAGATGGAGAAAGAGGTTAGAGGAGGGTGTGAGGGCCAGCTTTCTGGGTCAGCCTGGAGGTGGCGATCATCACTGTTGTTTACACACCATTGGCAGAACTCAGTCACATGGCCATGCCCAAAACAAGGGAGACGGGGCAACGTAGCCCGGGAAGTCAAGGACACAGAGTGTGTGAGCCATTAGTCGTCTCTGACGTAGGGCCCCTTCTCAAGGCTCCTCAAATGCTCATCTGAGAATAGTCACTCCATTGCATTGTCTTCCCATCCCATTAACTGTCCACCCATCCTGGGAAGCATGCGCTCTGCATGAGCTGCATGCAGCATGGGGCCATGGCCAGGACCATGGACTCTGGGGTCAGACTCATTGGGTTTGAATCCCAAATCTGCAGCATTTTAGGTCCCGGGCAAGGGATTTGCTCTCTCTCGTCCTGATTCCCTGTCTGTGAGAAGGAGCTGATGTATCCAGCAGCACCCTTAGGGTTTTCTTGCAGATTTCATTGAAGGGAAGTGGCAGGAACTATGGCCTGAGAGAAATGCAGCCACTACCCAAACTACTTCCCAGCAGAGAGGGGCCTCAGGTGGTGGGTTAAACATGCTTGTCTCTCGGTATCCCACCCCCAGCCCCTGGCTGGTGCCTCCGACTGATTGTACACATAGAGGTCAGCCTTTTGGGAAAAAGTGAGGATAAAACCCAGAGGGGCAGAGGGAGAAAGACCAGCACCACCTGCCTCACAGGTTTGGAGGATTATGGGAGCATCAGCCGTAAAGCCTTTAGGACAGTGTCATGCACTGTGCTGCCGCCACTGTTATTGTTGTTATTATTCACTTAGTCATTCACGGGAACCTCTGTGCCCAGGCAGGTCTCGCTCCCTGGTGCAGACCAACTCTCAGGAGCAGGACTCTTCTGGAATCCATGGATTCAGAGGAGCCTGTGCATACCCTGAAATTGCATCTGCATTGTTTGTGCATTTTTCTGGGGTGTGTAACTCTCCTCAGATTCTCAAACCAAAACCCCAGCAGAGGGAGAGAGCCAAGCCTGGTGTTCCCCACTGCCCCAGGCCTGATTCTCAGCCCTTTCCCGGAGGGAGGGATGATGCCCTGACACCTGTCCACAGCCTTGGCCGCCAGCTCCCCGGGCTTGGGGAGGTAGACAGTGGCCCACTCAGGATGCTCATTCCGCCTCTTGCTCCCAGCACAGGGGACAAGCACGCACCAGGGAACTGGGCCTTCATGGACCAGCTGGCTGCCCTGACCTGGGTCCAGGAGAACATCGAGTTCTTTGGTGGGGACCCACACTCTGTGACCATCTTTGGCGAGTCGGCAGGAGCCATAAGTGTGTCCAGCCTTGTGAGTTCTCTTCGGTGGGGGAGGTTACAAAAAAGAGGATGATGAACCACGTACATCTGATTGGTGCTTCATGTTGAACAAATGCTTTCAGACACACGGTCTCCCTGGAGCCTCACACCATGAGTCAAGGGCTCTGTCTTGTTTTAAGGACGAGAGCTGTCGTCAGAGAGTTTACATGAATCACCCAAGATCACATAGTGAGTGACAGTTTGAGGAAAATGCATTTATATGTGTACAGTTGAAGGCCTGGCATCCAGTTATCAGGACTGGTCATCATTGAATAGAGAAGCCCAGCTAAAAGCGTCAAATAGCAAAGGATGCATGTAAACATTTTATTTTCACTTAAAACATAAAAGGTACCCTCCTTCGCCAGTAGTTTGGTGAGGGGTCTTACTTTCCAGAGTCAGTCTGCTGACTGGAGGTCCAGTAAGGCTCTCCTGCATAAGCCCCCGACAGGATCCATTGCCCTTACATTGGGGGCTCAGTGTCCTTATGGTGAGCAGCGACTTCAAGATGCTGCGAAGTGCCCTAACCGGTGTGGCTCAGTGGATAGAGCGTCAGCCTGAGGACTCAAGGGTCCCAGGCTCGATTCCTGTCAAGGGCATGTACCTTGGTTTCAGGCACATCCCCAGTAGGGAGTGTGCAGGAGGCAGCTGATCAATGTTTCTCCCTCATCGATGTTTCTAACTCTATCCCTCTCCCTTCCTCTTTGTAAAAAAATCAATAAAATATATTTAAAAAAATAGATGCTGCGAAGAAATCTGTGGATGCAGCCCTCTTATTAAGCAAGCACTGTGCAAAGCCTTCTGTATTCATCACTTCTCCTGCTCCTCAAGACAAGTTTGACGTGGGCTCAGTTTTTTTATTTAATGTATTTTTCATTGATTTTAGAGAGGAAGGGAGAGGGAGAGATAGAAACATCAATGATGACAGAGAATCATTGATCGGCTGCCTCCTGCAAGCCCCCTACTGGGGATTAAGCCCGCAACCCCGGCATGTGCCCTTGACCAGAATCGAACCCGGGACCCTTCAGTCTGCAGGCCGCCGCTCTATCCGCTGAGCCAAACCAGTTGGGGCCAGTGGGCTCAGATTTTACTGCAGTTTTATAAGAGAGTGAATGGATGCTTAGAAATATTCAGCAACTTGCCTGAGGTTGCCCCATCGGGAAGACAAGGGTCTAGCACCCACACACCAGAATGCTCACCGTCAAAGTTCACGAGGAACATGGGGCTCAGAGAGGTTATTTAACTTGCCCAAACCTTCGCAACTTAGTCCTCAAACCCCCAAACCAGGACTTTTCCTTCTCTAAGGTTAGCTCTCTAGAGCAGGCTTCCTGGGAAGTTTTTCTTACAGAAGGGGTGGGTGGTGTGTGTGATGGGCGGGAAGCCCCTGGGTAACCTTTGCGGTGTCTCCTGTGTTCTCTCTCTCAGATCCTGTCCCCGCTGGCCCAGGACTTATTCCACAAAGCCATCATGGAGAGCGGGGTGGCCATCCTCCCCTACCTGAAGGCCCCGGAGGAAAAGCGGAATGAGGATGTAGGTAGATGCGCGCACCTCTCCGGCTTCCTCTCCTTGGTCAGGTGTCGGCAGACCATGTGCTTGGCCTGACTGACCGTGACCGGAGAATCTGACGCTGGCTTGAGGTGAAATGTGTTGCTCCATGGAAGGCCTTGTTCCGTAGGAAATGGGTCCAGCTGCACAGTGCAATGCTGCTGGTGTGCATGTGTGTGCGTGTGTGTGCATGTGTGTGCATGTGTGTGTGTGTGTGTGTGTGTGTGTGTCAGTTCTCACATTGTATGCACCAATCTTTGCTGTGAGATTCTGATGTTGTTGCCAGCTCAGTAGGAAATAACACTGACTTATTAATATTGTCTGGCAGGAGATTGGGAAGGGGAGGGGAGGTGTATGTCCCAGATGTTCATCATCTGTCATCTCGTCTTTGCATTCTGCCGGTCAGTAAGCACCTGGAGATCGAGGCCCCTGTCTCTTCCATGTCCTAGCATAATGTCTGGTGTATGTTAGGCAACCCTATACGTTTACTCGAGGAATGAGTTCACGAATGAGCTGATTCATTGAATGAATATTAATGAAACAATGGGCTACGGAGCCATCTCCTGGGTATCATTCGTGTTAGTGGTGCATTTCCTTAAACACCTTATAGAAGGTAACAACATACACCGAGAGCAAAAACAGAGTCATAATATTGCAAAAACACGGCCACTGCAGACGGAAAATTGGGTTTGGTGACGTGATATATCCGGCTGGTGTCCATGTGTGCAGTGTGGTGTGTATGCATTCATCCACCACACACATAGTGAGTGCCCAGTGCTTCCCCGCTCTATGTTGGGACCTGTGGGTTTATAAGTGGAGAAGGCATAGACTATACTCATTTTTATGGTAAGGATTTCAAGCCTGCAACCCATGGGTATGTTTGGAGGTGGTCCTCAAATGCTTACGATATATGTTTGTGCATTTTCCCAGGGGGAGGGTCTGGGGCTTTCATTGGATTCTCAGAGCATCTGTGATCCCAGAAGACTAAGGGCCACTACTTTTAGGGGGCACATTCTACACGCGTGGAATGTTCAGTGAGAGGGCAAGAAGGTGTTTAGCAAAGGGCTAGTAGTTTGGGGCCCTTGGAGTGACAGGAGATCGGAGGAGGAGGGGAATCGTAGGGACTGCCGTGTCTGAAAGGACATCTGAGAGAAGGTGGGACTTGGGTCTTAAAGAGTGAGACAGGAAAAAAGGACATCAGGGCATTCCAGGCTGGGGGTGGGGGTGAGGGTGAGGGTGAGGCTGGAGCAGAGCTGACCAGCTGAGACTCCGAGCTGGACACAGGCCTCAACAGACCTTGCAGAGCTGCTCCTCTCCCTTGGGGGGCTCCTGACTCCATGAGGCACCCCAGAGTGGGGCTTCTGGGCTCTGTGGGGCCTAGTGCCAATGGAGCCAACGTCACAGGTCTGTGACATCACAGATCCCACCATGACACCAGGAATCCTGACTCTATTCCATGGCCACAGACTGACAGGTCCTCACTCCCAGCTCCTGCACTTGCTAAAGATGACAAGGAGGGTCAGGCGAGAGGGTCAGGATGACCCGGGGCCAGCCTGCCCTCACTATGTCCATTCCATGAGAATGGGGAGGGCCAGCAGGCTGGACGTCGTATAGGAAGGACGGGCCTGGGACTGGATGAGGACTGTTTCCACGTTTCATTTTCCCAGAGGCTGTCCGTACTGTGCTCTAACCTGTTCCTTCTCTGCCACCAGTTGCAGATGATTGCAAATATCTGCGGCTGCAGAGCGGACAACTCCGAGGCCCTGCTGCGATGCCTGAGGGCAAAGTCCTCCCAGGAGCTGCTGGGCATCGGCCAGGTGAAGGGCCTGGGGCAGGGCTGCCCTTTGAATGGAATGGTGGACAGACCTGACCACTCTTATTTATTTTGACTAGGGACTTGGAAGGATATGGGGGCTGGGGATTCGTGGTAATGGCTGTAAAAACGTGGACTTGTGGGTCATTTTAAAAATATATACGTTTATTGATTTCTGAGAGGAAGGAAGAGATAGAAACGTCAATGATGAGAGAGAATCATTGATTGGCTGCCTCCTGCACGCCATCTAGTGGGGATCAAGCCCGCGACCTGGGCACGTGCCCTGCCTGGGAATTGAACTGTGACCTCCTGGTTCCTAGGTCGACGCCCAACCCCTGAGCCACACCAGCTGAGCTGCAGGGTTTATTTTTTAAAAGTTGGCTGGATTGTACTCCCAGAGCTTGCATTCAGTAGGGAATTTGCATTTCTAACAAGTTCGCAGGTAACACTGATGCTGCTGGGAGCCAGGCTTTGAGAACCACTGGGCTAGGCTACCGTTTCTCTTAAGTGGATGCTATTATTACCCTTTATTTGCAGATGAGGAAACTAAGGCACAGAGAAGCTGACCCCCTTGACCAGGCAGCCGGATGTATGGGGATGGACCAAGACTGGCTTCATTTCCCTTTCCTACCACATTTTGCTAGAGTGGGTGGGCTCAGGGTGGGTTGGTTTGGGGCCAGCAGATTTTACAAGCAGAGACAGCTTCCGCCCTTTCTCATTTCAGGTCGCCAAGTCTTTCACGCGAATGGTTGATGGTTTTTTCTTTCCTGACGAGCCTCTAGAACTGCTGATCAAAAAAACATTCCGCTCCGTTCCTTCTATCATCGGGGTCAATAACCACGAGTGTGGCTTCCTGCTGCCCATGGTAAGAATCCCGACTCTGCCTCCTGCCGCTCCCTCCACAGAGGGGCCGGGGTTTGCTCCCACAGCCGGTCGCTCCCACGGACGGCACACCCGTGGTGAGGGGTGGAACCCATCCGCCCGAGCACAGAGCGGCCGTCCTTCCTCTCTCTGGAGGATGGTAACTGGGGGTTGGGGTCAGCCAAGGCTGGTGTCCGCCCTGTTCCTCATAGGTTTACGGTGAACGGAACAACTCTGTGTAAAACACTAAGAGACAATGGGATCCGTTTGAGCTCTGTTCAAAACACCACAAATGCTCGTTTCAAAGAAGCATAGTTTCTACTTCGAAGGTATTGAAATCCATGACACCTTCCCGTCCTGGCATTTGGATGTCCAAGAATGCTCCCTAAGCTGGTGCACCGGTGCAAGCTGCAAAATAGACTCCTTTCATTCATCCCACAAGAATGAACTGAGCATGTACTGTGTGCTCTGAGCTCTGATAAAACCCGAGCAGGCAACAGTGAACAAATCATATGGATTCAGGTTTCCGCACGCCTCCATGACCTCCTGGTTCATAGGTCAGTGCTCAACCACTGAGCCACACCAGCCAGGCACCAATTCCCTCTTCTCTGAGGACATCAGTCCAATTGGATTAGGGCCCAGAGAACATCCTCATTTTAACTTCATCACCTCTTTCAAAACCCTGTCTTCTCACATAGACACATTATGAGGTCCTGGGGTTAGGGCTTCCACATAGGAATCTGTGGGAGACACACACACAGCCCATAACGTGGCCTTGCCACAGGGCAGCCACCGGGGTCCCACAAGACGACAGGTGTAACGGAATGGCTGTCTTTTATCAAATGAGAGGAGAAGCTGTCGCTTAACCGATGCACGGGAGCTACTTCTCCACGTGGCCCCCGGGGGCTGGAAGGGTCACGGCTTTTCCCAGCCTCCCCCCCGGGAAGGCGGGCGCCGGCACCCCACAGAGACCAGCTTCCCTTCCGAGGACCTGAGGTGCTCACAGGCGCCCCACTTCTCTCCACAGAAGGAGTTTCCTGAGATCCTCAGAGGCTCCAACAAGTCCCTCGCCCTGCAGCTGCTGCACACAATCCTGGTAAGGACGTTCCGGATTCCGAAAACCCACCTGGGACCGGGGACCCTATTGGCTGCATGCCCGCCAGGCTGTGGGCTGGGTTCTAGCAATCCTGGGGGCCATTAGTCAACCATTCGCTCATTCCCTCCCTGCACACAGATGCGCCGGGCAGGAGGATGGAGAGGCGGACTCCTTTCCTTCCCTGCTCCCTTTCGTCCTTAAGCATCTATTCAGTGTGTGCTCTCTGCCAGGCTCGTTTCACCCACTTATTCGTTGATCAGGTGTTAAGTGAGAGTGCAGGTGCCCCACCTCCCCTAACACTGGGGTGCCATGATGCACAGGTGTGTCTCTGTGCTTACGGAAGCTGTGGGCTTTGGGGATGGACAAACCTGATAGGACACTTCTGTGCATCGCTGCACCAATCAGGGCAGAAGGATGCCCAGGGCTCCGTGGTGTCCGTGGTGTCCGTTGGGGGAGCAGTTGGCTCACTCAGGGGAGGGATTTGGAGTTGGAGTTAGGTTTGTCTGGCAAATGGAGGAGCCAGGCTGAGAGGAACGGGTGGAACCGAGAGAACCAGGGAGGGGCAGATCCGTGTGTAGAGGTCAGCAGAAGGCATATAAAGTTCCATCCCAGGAGCTGGGAACAGAAGAGCGACATGATCCAATGTCCATTTGATAAAGGGTCTGGTGTCTGCAGCGTGGTCCAGGCTGGAGGCAGGGATGCCGCAGGTGCTAAGGCTCAGACAGGATGTTGGAGGAGTCTTGGCTGCCTGCTGATGACAGCTGGGACTAAAGTGTGAGCGAGAGCCCGGAGGCAGCGCTGGTACCAGGGGCATGGGATCAGTGTAGTTCAAAGGGCCTTTTGCTGAGAAGGGTCCTACACATGGTTGGATGTTCTGTTGTCACCATCTTGAAATTCTTGTCATTGTGGAACCATTTTTTCACTTGGCATTGAGCATTTTCACTTGGCACTGGATCCCACAAGTGGCGTAGCCAGCTCTGCCCAGGGGTGGCTGTTTCTGAAACATTTCAGAGAGGTGTGTGTACTGTGACTGAGAGCCTGGGATTTAGATGCGAATGGTCTTGTGAAAGAATCCTGGTTCCACCAGTTTGGGGCCAACCACTTTACCTCTCCAAGCCTTAGTCCCCCCATCTGTGAAATGGGACTGGTTTTGCTCATTTGCACCACAGGCTCGCTGTGTGGATTCCATGGGGCGGTGCGTGTAGAGCGCTCAGAACATGCCTGCACAGGCGGGTGCCCCACGCGTGGGCTGTTGTCGCTGACCTGGACCTCCTGTGGCTGATCTTTTGCAGCACATCCCCAGCCAGCATTTACACTTCGTGGTGGATGAGTATTTCCACGGCGAGCAGTCCATTTTTGAAATACGAAATAATTTCCTGGACTTGCTTGGAGATGTGTTCTTTGTGGTCCCTGGGCTGATCACGGCTCGATGTCACAGAGGTGAGTCCCCGAGCCACCCCCCGGCGGGGCCACAGTACAGCATGGATCCTGCTGCCTGCGGACCGGCCCCCTGCTCAGCCCTCTGTTCCCTCACTGAGAGGGACCTCTCAGGGGTGTCGGGGGTATAGCCCTGAGGGCCAACTTGTGTAGTTCCCCTGCCTTTCAGAGTTCAGGAATGCTGATCAGTTCTGTTTGTGTTCCTTTCGCTTCTTCAGGGAGGTGGAGAACACTCCCACCTCCCCATAATTTTCCGGGGCCCAACTTCCAGGTTACTTTCTGTTTGGAAGTGTCTTCTCAAATGTCTTAGCATAAGGAGGGCTGGAGCATTCAGAAAGAGAAGATTACTTGTGAGGACACACACCCACTCTTCCCTCCCTCTCCCTTCCTTCCTTCTTCCTTCCTTCCCTCCTTCCCCCTTCCTTCCTCTCTTCCTTCTGTTCTCCTTTCCTTTCCTATAAGAGACTCACTTTAAAACTAAAGATACAAATAGGTTGCAAGTGAAAGGATGGAAAAAGGTATTCTATGCAAGCAGTAACCAAAACAGAGCGGGCATGGCTATCTTAATGTCAGACAAAAGAGGCTTTAGGATGACATTGGTATAGAGAATTGTTACAGACTAAGAGAGACAGGAGAGCACATCATAGAAAGATAGAAGAGTGAGTTCATCCAGAAGCTATAACAATTATCAATCCATAGGCATCTTGCCACAGAGCCCCCAAATATATAAAGCAATAGCTGACAGAGTTGAAGGGAGAAATAGTTGTGCATCCATAGTTGGAGACTTCAACCCCACTTTTCATAATAGCTGGAAACGCTCTACAAAACACAGGCAATTTCCCTAGTGATTAGTGATGTTGGTGCTTTAGTGGGAGACTTTATAAGCATGATCGCCCTTATCCAGTAGAGGAAAACAGAAAGATGATTCAGAGAAAGAGGGGGAAGTTGGAGCGCAAAGGCCTTTCGTAGAGAGGTGAAGGAATGTGGGGTGCAGGGGGCATCTTGGAAGCAGGAATAGCTTTGTTCTGTTTGTCATAGGCCATGGACCCAGGTCAATGAGAGGAAGTCAGGGGGAAGTAGACCTTGGGTCCGTGTGAAGGACTTTTTGTGAAAACTAGAACCCTTGCCCGGGCAGCCTGCCCTGGACGGGCATCGAGCTCTTTGTCACCAGGGCTGCGAGGGCCTCTGAAGCAGGAACCGCTAGTCTCCGGGAAGGAAGAGGGAAGGTAGCTTGTTCAGGTTGCCTCTTGTATGGGGGCGGCCCCCACCCATAGGTTTGGGAATCTGGGACGAGTTGGGTGGGGATGCAGCGCCAGCTCTGCTCCCCCTGCAGGGGCGCTGCCACGGCCACTCTCTCTCTCCATCGCTGTCTCTCTCCATCGCTGCAGACGCGGGCGCACCTGTGTACTTCTATGAGTTTCAGCACCGGCCTCACTGCTTCAAGGACAGCAAGCCGGCTTTCGTCAAGGCCGACCACACGGATGAAATCCGCTTTGTTTTCGGAGGTGCCTTCCTGAAGGGGGATGTCGTCATGTTCGGTAAGGAACCCGCCTGGTTTGGGGGTCAGGGGGAGGAGCTCTCCTGGTCTTGCAGGAACATGGGGATGGGGGGGTGAGGTGGGAGAAGACAGGACTCCCCACCCCAACATGATGCAAGCGCTGGAGGACTAGTTTTTTTAAAAAATATATATTTTATTGATTTTTTACAGAGAGGAAGGGAGAGAGATAGTTAGAAACATCGATGAGAGAGAAACATCGATCAGCTGCCTCCTGCACATCTCCTACTGGGAATGTGCCCGCAACCCAGGTACATGCCCTTGACCGGAATCGAACCTGGGACCTTTCAGTCCGCAGGCTGACGCTCTACACTGAGCCA